GCATTTTCAAAACTACTTGCTAAGGTAGAACACTAATAGAGAGATGGGGTGGGGGATGGCAGCTCATTTATGTAGAATATTTGTGAAACAATCACTGAGTATTTGTTGAGTGTTTTGTTGAATCTTAGATATATATGGGGCTAACAGAAATAAAGAGGTTATTTTTTAAGAAATGCCTAGATACTCATCTTTGTATCTTTTTTCTAAAAATTGAATGTGGAAAAAATTCTGGTAGAAAAACCAGCAAGTGCATGTATTTTCATCTTCTTGCTTAAAAAAGGAATAAACACTCATTAAAAAGCAGTAAAGGAACAAAAGAGTGAGATCCTTCAGGATAAAAAGAAAGGTTAAGAGTAGCCATCACTGAATGAGGGATGAAGACAAACAACTGGAAAGCAGATTTCAGAGGGAGGAATTCTGACCAAGGGGGAGATTACAGTGTGGGGACTCATGGGGCAGACTTGATCATAGAAGAGCTGGTTATGACACAGAGCTAGAAGTAAGAGCTTGGCTAATAATTTGCATATGGAGCAACCTATTTCCTATTCCTGTCACTCAATACTGTTGAGAATACTCAACAACTAAAATTACTGGACAGTAGACAGACAGGCTGACAAGTAGGTAAGAATTCACTTGGCTGAGAATGAATGGTCCCAGAAAAAAGACCTCTATACTCTGTGATTTAGGGGCCCTTCATAATAGTAATCAATGTCCTACCTGATTGTAGCTGTCAGTGACAAGCCAAATGTTTATCTTTCCATTAACTTCTTATCATTTTTAAGTATGAAAGGTCATATAAGGATCATTTGAAGAAAGACACTATTGTGAAAGATATAATTTGGAAATATATTGCATAAAAGATATATTACATAAAATATATTGCATAAGAACAGGATGCTACAAAACCTGAACAATCATGAGGGGAAGCCACTCTTGATGGTTACAGTACAGTTGCTGAAATAAAAATTCAAAAGATCAGGTGGAAGGTACAGTTGAGGATCTCTCCAAAATTGGAAAAAAATTTAAAAAGCAAGCATATTGAATCAATTGGAAAGCCTAAAATCCAAACAATAAGAGCTCTAGAAACAGAAAACTAGTAAGAAAATAATGTTGGAAATAATGCAAAAGAAGGTGCATCTCCAAAACAAAAGGCCCTATCAAGTACCTCACACAGCAGAACAAAAAAGATCATAAAAATTTTAAATACATAGAGAATATCCCAAAAGTTGCAGGAGAGAAATAAAAACAAGCAAAAGAAAGATCACCTATAAATAATGAGAACTGAACTGATATCAGACTTTTCCTCTATAATATTAGACACTAGAAAACAGTGGAAGGTGTCTTCAAAATTCTAAGGCAATCACTTTTTGTATTTGGAGTATGTCCAGGCAAACAGTCATGTGGAAATAGATTAAAGCCACTTTCAGTCATTGAAGGACTTTGCAAGCTTACCTTTTCCACACATTCTTTTCTTAGGAAGATACTTGAAGATGCTCCAGAAAAATGAGGACAAAAGTCAAAAGGGGAACATGAGCTACAGGGAACAATGACTATTCCCAAGAATGCAGCAAGGAATAGTCTCAGGATGACAGGTCCACACTAACAGGAACAGGGTCAGTCTGCTGTAAAGGAAACGCAGTAGAGGGCTTGCACATGGATGGAAGAGGACAGTATGAAAGTCTTAAGATGAAATGCAGCAACTCCCCACTCTCAAGCCAAAGGCATTTTCTTCTCAATTTAACCCTTTATTTAAGCATTTAATACCATGTTTTAAGTTTATGTATTTCTTGCTATTTCTCGATGTACCATTTCAGACATTATCTATTGACTACTGTGATGATGTGTTTTTAGCTCATACCACTTTGTACGCCATTTCGACAGAGTTAAAATGAAATTTTTAGTTCTTCCATTATTCACCTTTCTAACTGTATACTGAAAGAAAGAAAGAGAAAGAAAGAAAGAAAATACATAGAGCAAGAGACTGTACTTTAAAGTTACAAAGGTAATACGTATATATGGATATATGTGTACACACACACACCCCCCTCTATTTCTTGGGCTCCTGGAAACAGTAACTTCTTACTTCCTGTGTGTGATGTGAAGCCACCCTTCCCTTCAATTCTCTTCTGCTCTTCCACGTTGCTCTATCTTCCTTACTTTCACAACATCAGGGTTAATAACATTTATAGTCTATTTCAGAATCATAATTGCATCTTCAACTCTGACTGTAGATTATTAATAATAGAATAAATATTAACTATCTTTAAATGAATATATAGTATTGATATTATATGTATTATGTAAAGGTCATCCACTGCACAGTGAGGTCATATTCAAAGATCGTTTCTTTCTTATGTGGACCTTTTCTTTTCCTGGGATTTCTAATCGCCTTCCTTTTTTAAAAGATGTGTATGTGTGTATAATGTGAGTGTGCACACATACATCTATACATTTTAGGAGATATGTATAATTCCAAGTAAATAACAGAAGAACCAAAAATTCTGTTTGAGAGGATGCGTGAAGTAGTGTAGGCACAATTTTATTCATCACAGCAGATGGTCAGTAAACAATGCCTGAAATTGCTGAATCAAAAAATAGCCATAAATACATTAAATTTAAACTAAATTAAAGCATGAAAAGATTTAGAAGAGATTGCTTTTGGGTGGTATGAGAGATTATTCCATTTTATTTTAAGTATTGTTACTGTTCTTTTTAATCCATGTGTACATATGACTTTAAAATTTATTCTTAGTTTAAAATTTACTTTTTGGTTTTGGGGATTGATCGAAATTTTAAAACAACTTTTAAAAAGAAGAACATATACTAGAATCATATACTGTAATGAGCACTATTCTTGCTAATCAGGATGTCTGAATTCATCACCTATGTGAAAATTTTCTGCAATGTTTTGACACAATTGCCATAAAAAATGCACAGCTTTGCATCAGGGGACTCTTGCTTTGATCTTGCTGTGGTCATGCCCATGGAGCCACTTCACCTCACTGTGACCTTGTGGGCACCTTGCAGTTACTCTTTTAGGCCCTATTACCTTTGCTTCAGCATCTCTTGCACCTTCTGTTTCTCCCACCAGTATCCTTTGTGGTGCATGCATCCTTAGAAGGAAGCCAGGAGTTGGGGTCCAAGGGCTGGCTTAGAGGCAGACTGACATCTACTCACTCTGAATGGAGAAGCCATTCAGCTCACCCTGTGCCTCTGTCTGGCAGTTGTGCTGCAGCAGTATATTTGTGTGTGCTTTAAATTATATGAATAAAAGTTACAGTTCTGTAGGAACCCGAACTAAGGACTGCTTCATCCTTCTCTCTGTGGCTGGCTGGAGCAAAGCCTCTATTGTGCCTGTCCCAGAGGGTTGTGAGCTCAGACTTGGGGCATTCCTGTCCAACACTTAGTCTCTTTGGCCTGTGCAGGAGAGGAGCCAGGGGTCAGGAGCCAGGAGCCAGGGGACCATCTTCTCTAGGCAGTGACGAGTGCTAAGTGTGGGCTTCCTGTCTGCCACCGTGGCTGCACGGTGATTAATGCCAAGTCAGCACCTCTCTCAGTGACCTTTCAGCTTCCTCTGCCACTGCCCTTCACTTCTCATAACTATTTGCAAATATTAGCTCCTCGGGTCATTCCTCCTCATCTGTGACTTTCACAAGTGACCAGAGGGTTGTTCCTTAACAGTTTATACTCTGGCCTTAGTGAATGTGTCTGTACTCCAGCATTCCCTCAGAAATCTGCACCCAGCCCCACAATCTGTGAAATTTCTAAAGGGAGAATGTTACCAGGTGGGTTCCCAGAGGAGCCATTGCCGTGGGGAGCTTCAGAGGCCCAGAGTTTGGGAAAGCCTTAAAATCCCTAAGAATGGGTCTCCCATCATGTAATCAATGTGAAGGTTTAAGAAAATTAATTTGCTGACTGCTGGCACAAGCTTTTCTCCTCCTCCCCTCCCTCTCCCTCTGCTTACCCCTCCCCCTAACCCTCCCCCCTCCTCTTTCTCCTCCTCCTTTTTTTTAAATTCATACGCACATTTAATAGAAAAATCACATCCTGCTTAGATAGTGAATGCCAGACACTGAGTTATGGGAAGGAGGCCTTCCCTCTTCCTTGTTGTCCCTGTGGATGGCTGAGTGCCCACCAGCCTGGAGGCCACAACCTTTCCTTGGCCAGAGTTCTTCGCTGCCCGGATGGCGAGCTCTTCAGCATGAAGTGCTACAAGAGGCATTTTGCATTTGCAGTCGTTTAAATTTGTTTTTATTTCCAGTCTCTTACATCTCCACCCTTTATTGAAATTCCTATTCTATAAATGTTGTTTGGTCTTCATTTTCCCTAAATAAACAGTAGTAAAGTGTGCTGTGGGTAGTTTAATTTTGATGCTAAATGTGTTTTAGAGAAAAGTGGCAGAAATGCATCCTAGTTTTCTCTCCCTTGTCACCAAAGTATGAGCTAAATTATTTATAGTTTGATACTCACAAAACTGAGATGGATTCAGGATATTTACTTTGCAGAAAAGAAAAAAAGGATTGAAACTGCAGTGAAGGAACTGAACACTGTTAATTGAATGTGTTTGCTCAGGGAGTCACATTCAGCCGCTTTCTGTTGACCTCTGTGCCTAGCGGAGTGCCTGACACATGGCGTATTTGTGCAATTGACTGAATTTGAAAATAGTGGGTGTATAGGTGACTCAATGGACAAAGTCTTAAATCAATGAAAAAAATAAAATACAGCCAGAAAGCATTTTGCAAAATGCTGAGTAGTTAAAAGCCTCATCGCAGCCCTATGCACGGAGCACAGCATGAGCTCTCCGGTGCGTGTCTCCTAGTCGCTGCTGGGCTTCCAAGGCTGGATGTGTGTAGACGGGGCGCCTGTGGTCTGACAGGTAGGTTATGGAGTTCTGGATTTCCTCTCGGTGTATCTGACAGGACCCTTCATCTGCTGTTCTAGTCATCCCCTCTTCCATTCAGAGAGAAGTTCCATGGATGGTATCTCTTTCTCTGACACAGGAGATATTGGCACACCTGAAGCTGTGGCCCCTGTTATTGTGGTTGCCCCAGGCAACAGGAGTGTGGTGGCAGGATCCAGTGAGACGACCCTGGAGTGCATAGCCAATGCCAGGTACGGGTGTGCTCTGGATACAGACACACAGTTTAAGTATTCCTCATCCAAAAATCCAAAATCTAAAACTTTTTGAGTATTGACATGGTACCCTAAGTGGGAAATTCCACCCCTGACTTTATTTGGTGGATCACAGTCAAAACACAGGTGCTGTGGCTGAGGTTGTGGCTTAGTGGTAGAGCACTTCACTAGCACGTGTGAGGCACTGGGTTTGATCCTCAGCACTACATAAAAATAAATAAATAAAATATAGGTATTGTGTCCATCTACAACTAAAAAAAATATTTTAAAAAAACGCAGGTGTCCTTAAAATATTGTATGTAATCCCCTCTGGCTGTAGAAAAAAATCAATTAATTTCATGTTTTAGGCTTGGTTTCCATCCCCAAGATATATCATTATATATGTGCAACTATTCCAAAATCAAAGAAAAAAACATGAAATACAAAAGCATTTCTGGTCTTCAGCATTTCAGATATGGGATATTGAGCCTATACTAATAAATACTCCCTGAGACGAGACCATGATGGGAAGAGGGACATATGCCCCCTACTTTCAGCAGAGGCAGGCCCTAATATTCCCCAAACTTCCTGCAATAAGGGCTGCTTTTCATTTTAGCTATGGGTAATGGTGGAGCCTGCTTCTACCATGCTAGCTGGAGAAAAAAAGAGCAGGGCCCCTAGGCATCAAAGAAGAGTTCATTTCTCTCCCCTACTGTAGTCATAAGCGTTCTCTGCCTAGTTCGTGGTCACTCCAAAATCAAGTTCGGGTGGTCACACCTCCCATGTAGCTGTAGTGTCCCCTAGTAGTATTTATTTTAAACATTCTTTTCCTGCGCAAATGGGATCATTAGCACTTATGGTCCATTGCTGCTGCAATTAGCTATCCTTGCTCAATAGCCCTTGAGCAGAATGTATCGTTGATGTGTGCCATAAGGGAGTAGAGCTGTATCTGGATTGATTTTTAAATGTCCATTGTTCAACCCGCCATGGTTCCTGGTAGAATTAGCTTTGTCGGGCTCGTGCTGAATGCCTGAAATTATTATTATTGCCATCTACATGATTCACAATCATTGTCACCGATGCCCTTGCTCTCGCAGGCCTGTGGAAGAGCTGAGCGTGCACTGGAAGAGAAACGGAGTGAGACTCACCAGCGGGCTCCACAGCTTCGGGAGGCGTCTCACCATCAGCAACCCCACCTCCGCGGACACGGGGCTCTATGTCTGTGAGGCGACGCTGCAGGGGAGTGCTTTCGAGCCAGCCAGGGCAAAAGCCTTCCTTTCCATCATAGGTAAGGCTCAAACCAATAAGTGGCACCATCAGCGTCCTGAGATAACACTCCACACTGACACTTCCCTGTACATGAAATGGCAACCCTGTATTTCACCGACTTTATTTTTGAATCATAAAATGCATGTGAGGTTGTGTTTATCTTTCAAATTCATCCTGTTCTTCTTTTCCAAGACGATGAATCTATTAAACCAAAAGTGTGGATGTGCCTGATACTTCCAGGAAATGTCCTTCTGAGCACTTCAGATCATAAAGCTTGGGATTGAAGGGCGAGGTCCTCGTCCTGGAAATCACCTGCCTTGTCTGGCCTTTCTGCCCCATGCTTCTCCGTACCTCTTTTGGGCTATTATGATGATGTTCAAAAGTCATTCTATTACTGTTGTTAAGTTTTTGACTCACTATTGGATGCTATCTTTGGTTTCACTAGAAGGTAGGAGTACAGATGCGTCATAAAAATGGGGTGTCAACCTAGAACCAAGGAGAATGAGAGGTCAGATTAAGTGCCTCTGAGTTGCTTAGCTCTAAATGCTGGAAGTTAACAGTGGTTAGAAAGTGTTTTGTACAGGCTGAGAAAATCTTAGATTTATTGTCAGATTGTGAAAAGATTACATTAAATTGTGAGGCAAGTGCCTTCATTTCTTCGACTTTTCCAGCTCCAGTCAGTCCTTCATTTGCTTAAGTGGCTGTGATTACTGTCCTGGTACCCATCCTTCCTGGTGGTAGCCACTGCTGATCAGAGCATCTGAGAGGTCAGCTCCAGACAGGAGCATCTCTGCTCCATCTCTCCCTCCTGTGAGTAAGAAGAATTGAGAACTGGAGAGGCAGGATAGGAAGGAAGCCTTTGGATATCAGTAGCTCCTCCAATAATACATCTTGCAGCTTGCGATTGCAAACCAAGGAAACCCAAAAGCTTGTAGCTCCCTCTGAAATTAGCAAGAGGATGTCAAGGGTACTGCACAAAATGTAGGGCTTTGTGCCCCCAGTTTGGCTCTGCTAAACACATTGCAGGGTAAACCTGTTAGCCCCTCTGAAAGAAGTGTCAGGATGGTGCCTACCCAAGAAGCAGGCTTGGGTCCCAGATCGCTGCCTGTTCCACTGGGGATCCAAGCTGCTCCGCTGCTGCCTATCTCCATTCCTTGCGGTGCCAGGGCTGTAATGTAAATATCACGTCTCGTTCTCTGCAAAGACTTTCATCAAGGTTGATCTACAGCTATATGAACACAGCGCATTATAGATTGAACCAAAATTAAAATTTGTGATGTGTAAATCTCTTGTAGACAGGACTATATTGTGTTAAAACATTTTAAGGTAATTTAAACAAGAGAGGAAATTTATCTCCCTGTAAACTAGAATGTTTGTTTCAATCATAATTCCTTTTTAAAATATTTAAATCTATCATAGGAACTTAGGTCTTGCATTTTTATCGGAACTCCAAAGCAGAATGCTTTTGTGTTCTACAGTTAACGTCTCTCTGTGCTCTGACTTTTAAAGGCACATGAGCACACTTCACTTCTTCACAATGCTGATTTACATCCTCTTTTATTCATAAGGACTCACTGTGATGGGGGATTTTTGTGGTTGGTTCACACTGGAAGAGCCCTGAAGAGTGTCTCTGCGGTTCTGAGGACTTGGTGGGATTATTGCCCCACATCCAGCCACCTTGGAAGGTCCTCAAAATACATGTCCAATCTCCCACGGCTGTCACCGTGGAATTGGGGGAAGAGCTATTGATGTAAACATGCAGATGAAAGAAAGCAGAAACAAATTGGCTCCCAATTACTTTTATTTCACACTGATGAGACCAGACAGCCTGGTTGCACTGTTTACTCCACCTGTCAGCTTCCCTGCCGTATTGCTCAATTTCTGTGGTTTAAACAGGAGCCCTGAGCTCTTATCAGACAGCCTGGTGCTGCTGGAAGATGCCTGGCACCCACTCGCTACAGTCAGTAGGCTCTATGTCCTGGTGGTCTGTCCCCTCTGCCACACTGGGGCTCAGCTGTGCTGCTATCTCTCAGCAGGCCCTTTTCTCCTAACCCCCACCCTGCGCCCTCAGGGTGTGAACACAAATCATTCAGAAATTTCAAATACCTTAAAATTTCATTACTTGTAGCATCTCTCGGCTGATACCAAGATCACACTTGAGAAGTCATTCTGCAGCTTTATTCCACAGGCTTCTAGAGCTGAAGCGGAGCCCCTCTTACATGTTCATGTCCCAGTGTAAAAGTGCCACCTCCCTGCCTTTCCCCCATCCCACTTAGAATCTCTACCCTCCCTTCTGCCTCTCCTGTTTCTGGGTGGAGAAAGTTCTCCACTCTTGATGGCTCACGTGGTTAGACCAGGCCCACTTAGCTAAGCCAAGAGTCTTCCTGTTCACTGACTTTAGATTGGTAACCTTGAGCCCATCTTCAAGTCATACTCAGAGGCCCAGGGATTTGGGTGTGGATGTCCATGGGAACCATTCTGCCCACTGCAGTGGATGAAGGCTCCTGAGTGTAGATAGTGACAACTGCTGTGGCCACACTCTGGGACCTACCTGCTGCTCACTGAGGTGGCCTCTGGAGGGAAAACAGTATGGGGAATGTCTTCAGGCCTTGTGAAAATCCCTGCTTGGGACAAACCCTGAATTGTATTCAGAAGCCACTATCTAGCACCAAGATCAGAAAAAGATGAGGAATCCTTGGTGCCCATGACCACCTCTACTGTGGCTGCCTCAATCAGGCCAGAACTGCACTCTATCACCCTGGCATTCTGAAGAGTGGGGGATTTGATAGAGGCCCTTGGTGGGGGCTGCCTGGGGGGAATCTCCACCTCCAGGTCTGAGATTGTGGGCTGGCAGCCTTAGCAGATATCCAAGAACAGCTGGTCCATGACCTTTGATTTAACACTGGGCATGAGAATCTTTTCTTGATGTCTTCTCGTTGCTTCAAAAGAGATAGAAATGTCCGTTTCAATCCCCAGTTTTATTGGCTGCATTTGTGATCAATTTTTAAAAGTCCAGTGTGAGCTGGCAACACACCTGTTCTAGAAAGAGTATTGCTGATTTGTGAAGACACATGCTCACTCTCTTGCCCTTTGAAGATTAAGTGCTTGCAATGCTCTGTGCCCTGGAGGGCTAGCCCATAGCTGATCTCCACGCTTCAACTCACAGCCTCCATGGCTGGTAGGCCTGGAATCCCCCTGCTTTTTCTTCTCCTAGCAGACTGCGAGTGAACAAGTAGCTAGTGATGGGGAGAAAATCCTTCCAGGCACCTGATGAGACCAGGCAGTGTGAAGAGCCAGTTGTTAGAGGTTGTGGCCTGCAGACAATGGGGAAGTAATAACACGATGAAGAGCAGAAGCATCAGGGACTACGGGGCCTGTGTGGCCCAAGGTTTGCCCGCTCTGCTGGCTCCACCACCTGAAGGCTTCCAGGAGCAAGGAACCAACTTGCTCTGCTGTGCTGTACCATGCCATCTCTCTGGGGGTGGGATGTGAAATGCTGCAGCTGCCTGGCACCAGCAGATTGCCCTTCCAGACTGGGCCCTGGCAAGGTGCTCAGGAGTACAGGGGGCAGGGAGCTCCCACCTGTTGGTGGCCCTATGCACCATGCCCACTCACCTGGTGACTGACTGGGGTGGAGTGAGGGCACCTGGGAAGGGATGGTCTCAGCCTGGCCTCGGCCCCTGGGTTACTCTGTGGACTCCTCGTCTCCAGCTCCAGCCTCCCTGGCTCTTGGGAGAAATTAGGGGTAAAATTGTCACCAGAGGCCTGTCTCTGGAGATCAAATAAGCAGGCCCAGCCACTTACCCCAAAAATCAAACAGAAAACGTAGTGGCAAAAGGCAGGAAAGGAACTTAAATCTGTGTAGCAGGGAGTCAAGGAGTCCCTCGTCCTTGGCTCTGTCTTCAGGGACTGACAATGATTTTGAGGTTTTATAGGAAGGGAATGAAGGCAAGCATCAGGGTTTGCACAGCTGGAGGTTTTTCACAGCTGCCAAAGCAGGTGTGGTCTGTCCATCATGCTCTCAGGCTTGGTCAGGTGGGGCCTTGTCCAGGACAAGAAAGTGGCTGCTTCTGCGGAGTAGCTTCACCTCATCACAAGATGTTTCTCCATCAGATCTGTCACTCCTGGAATCCAAGGTGGTTCAGAGAAAGGAGACATATGCACAATGGAGGCAGAGATGCCACATCTTTAGTCCTGCTTTTAGCCACCTAGGGGACACTTGCAGGCAGAAGTGAAGAGTCTGAGTCCTTGTTACACCTGGGGAAAGGTGCTGTGGTCCTGAAGGTGCTGGCTGTTTATAGGTGCAGATTTGCATTATCAAGCACAGATCATTTGGGAGGAATCTCAAGGGAGCTGTGGGGTGAGAAAAGCAAGTTTCAAAGGTGACAAGCTGTATGACCATCTATATAACATTCTTGAAATGACAGAGAACAGATCAGTTGCTGCCAGGAGTAGAGATGGGGGCTTGGGAAGGGCATGGTTACAGAAGAGAAGCTTCCTATGTCTCAGTGTGGCGTGGATGCATGAACCTATACTTGTGGTGATGGGGCATGAAACTAAACTTGCGTGTGTATATGCACTCTCTCTCTCAAACACACACACATATACATACACCACACACACAAACACAAGCAAAACTGGGGAGAGCTAGATAAAATAGGTTGATTGCATCAGTGTTTATATCCTGTTTGTGATATTGTGCTTGGAGAAGGAAGGTATTAAATCTGCAGCTTCTCTAGGCCTGGTCACTACAAACAAAAACTAAGCAGATGATTTGATTCCAGCTAGTGAATTTGCAGCCATCTCTGAAGCCAGAGTGGGTAATTCAAGCAGATTGTTTCCACTTGAGTGGTCCAGGTAATTGCAGAATTGATACCCAACTTTGCCTCCATTCAGAAACCTCCAGCTTTTTCTCCTTAATCATTTCTTTGAAATACTACATTTTTATTTCTGTTTCCTCTTTTATGTCCTACCCTGTTTTAAAGATACAGTCAATATAGGAGGCATGCCAACCTACATTATCCACATTCCACGCAGTTACGATGAGAACAAGCCACTCTGGAGACAGTCCCCAGATATTAATTATCACGCAGAAAGTGAATGCACCCGCCTTTTGTTATCAGGATAATGAAATCACTACCATCTGAATACTCCCAAACTTGGCCAAGCTTCTGTTGAATTTCTGCTGAATAAACTGAGAAAAATATTTCATTTTACTCTCTGAGGAAATACATTGTTTAATACAACCACTATTTCTGTTGCCCAGGCGAGTGCGGAGTCTAGGGACGCAGTGGTGGAGGGTTCCCTTTGCTACTGGAGATGTGAAAGTCCCCTCCGTTGTTTTTTTTACTCTCTCTCTCTTTGTTATTATTTTGCATTCCATTGATGTATTAAATCTATATTTTGGAGCAAAAGAACTGCTAAGACTTTAATAAACATGTTAATAGGCCACAGTGCTCCCTGGGACAGGCTGGTGCCTTGCAATGACACTTTAATGACATGCTTCATGAGTTGGTGTTTAGTTGAGATACTGAAGCAAACTAGCCTATAAAATACTGTGCTGTAAATATAAACCTTTACGAACCTCTTGGGATGGTCCTTCTAAAATGTGAATTAAGATATTCCATGATTCAAGCCCATAAACTGAAAAGTAGCCATCGCGCTGAGTAGTAATCTGCTTTCTGAAACCTTAGAATATAAATTGCCTCTGGCTGCTGCTTACTGAATCCTGGATTTGTGTGTGCGATGGTGACTAGTGACGAAGTTTTTAGAAATAGTTTTTAAACAGAGCTCAAACTATTTGAGGCTGTTGTGCTCCTTGACATATCCTTCTTTTACTTAGGGGCTATTGATTTTTTTTCTTCTTGTTTAAAGAGCCACCGTATTTTACTGCCGAGCCTGAAAGTCGGATTCTAGCTGAAGTGGAAGAAACTGTGGTCATCGCATGTCAAGCCATGGGTGAGTGTGGGTGGCGTCTGGACAAAGAGCCGTGGTGTGGAGGAATGATGAGGCCTATGTCCAGGCCAGGGTTTGCGTCCCTCCAGGGAGACAGTGAGGGCCAAGCTGGGAACAGACTGCTGAGTGCAGGAGAATTTAGTAACCAGGCCTGTGACCTTGAGGAAGTCCTTGACCTTGCTGGGGCTTTTGCTTCCTCATCTGTAAAATGGGCACACTAATATTTACTCCCAGAGAATGAGGAGTAAGACCTCACCCCTCCCTCCCAATCAGAGGGGAGGCAAAGCATGCCCCGTGGACTCCCCTCAAATGTTTGGTTTCCAAGACTCACAGCACACACAAGAAACTATCCTCATCTACCAGCGGTTGGGTTTGGGGCTGGCGACCACATCCATCCAGGATGAAGGGAAATCATTTAAAATTTTTTTCACTGGAAATTTCCCCATTTTTCTGCTTCCCCAGATTTGGATCATCCTTCTTTTATTACTCAACAGGTAACTTCTCCCTCTTCCCCATGCCTTGGTTGCTGCTGCCCACCATGCCAGGCAAACTGGGGAGGCAGGCTGAAGAGGCAACTTCATTAACAAAACCTGTGTTTGTATTCTGGCACCTGCCAGATCGTTCCCTGTTGAGACCTGGCCCCTTGAGGGGGGTATTTTCCTCTGCCCTCTAAGAGCTCAGAGAGTTAGATTTTCTGCCAATCTTGCAAACTTTCTAAATAGTTCCATGAGAGAGATATTTATCATTGTCACACTGTACACATATGAAACCAGAGCCTTAGAAACCAAGGTCAAGAAATGTATTCAAAGCCACAAAGATAAAACAAGGTGCTGCTTATTAAAACCATTGCTCAGACCTGGCATGTAGGAGTTGCTCATTAAATACTGAGGTCGCATGGTACTGGAAATGCTTCAACCCCCTTCCTTCAGCTACAGAAGCACATGCTCCCACCAGGACACCTGGCTCCTGGGCTTCCATTCACCTGTTTGTGCAACTGGGTGCATGTCCTTCTGCATTTCTGAAGATGAGTACCGTGTGGCTTTTCATCAGAGAGCAGCCGGTCCTGTGCTGTGTGGGGCAGCTGCTCCTGGCTAGCTCTCAATGGCTGCTGAACAGGTCTCTCTTTCTCTTCTCTGGGTTCTGGCTCTACTAACACAGGCGCAGGGGAGGGGAGAAAGGGCGAGAGAAGAGCAATATGAATTTTAAATGGAAATATTTTCCTCACTGTGGCTGCATTGTTCTACAAACGCCAGCTTCTTGAGGACAACTCTGTGAAGGCGAAGCTATAAAATATTTAGAGTGCTTACATCTCAGAGACGAGAGCACACACTGCAGCAGGGGATACAACTTCAGTTTATCATGTTAAATTGCCCCAAAATAGAAATATCCTTGTTCCCCACATACTAACAATTACTTTTCAATAAGTGACAATCTTAAACTCTCCCTTTGAAAAGAAAATGTTCCTTTTTTGCGTGATTTCTACAGGATAAACTGCTCATTAAGCATAGACTTTTAAATGCATAACAAACAGGTCTCAGCACTGCTCACCATTGTAGAACTTGCTGGTTTCTTTTGATAATCAGACTCTAACAGCTTGAGAAGGGAGGTTCTTCATGAGAGCTACACATGTAGTAGCCAGTATGAGATTTCACATGAATTGGTTATGCTTCTCCCTTGAAATGGATTTTTAATTTTGGTGATTTAATAAAAGATGACAAGAAGCATAATTAGGGCAAAGAACAGGCTCTGAGAAGTCATGACCTTGAAGTGTCTGTAATATTAACTTTCTTCACTTTGCATGTCCCACACCCCTCCATGCAGCATCTTCAACAGGAGCTTGGGTGCAAGATGGGTTTTATTTCTATCCCTTTTACATTTAGGGAAACTGAGGAGAGGCCACCTGAGATCTTGAAAGAGGTCTGAGTATTCCCTCCCTTCCCCATGTATCTCTGGACTTGGCCATCTGTGGCTTGGTCCATCCTGTGTGGTGCTTCCCAAGCCTCCCAGTCCTCCCTTCTCGACTTCAAAAAGACTTAGAGAGGTTCCAAGGAAACAGTGTCCTCTGTTGCTGGTTTCCTAGGCCCAGAGAAACTCCCAGAAGGGCCTAACATTCCCCACTCGGGGACACCACATATAGCCTGGCAGCATTCACTCAGCATCTGGGTCATCCTGCTGACCACAGCCACATAAAGGACAAGCTATGGAGTCCTCATGCCTTAGGCTAACAGTCCCTTCCATCTGCAGCCCGGGGTCTGTTCCTTGTGAGCTTGTCCTGTGCTGTCAGCATGCACCCCTCCCAAGCCCAATCTCCCTTCCTTCAGATAGAGCAGGCTGCAGCTGGAGCACGTGGAATTTAGCCTCCTTGGCTCGTCTCCATCCCAGCTCTTCCTCCACATCCCAGCCTGGAAACCTAGAAGCCTAGCTGCATATAAAAAGGCCCTGTTTTCGTCTGTGTACCACAGCCATGAGGAAGGAGGAGCAGCACTGTGTGCCAAGCCTCAGGCTCCCCTCTTGAGCCTAACTCTTTGCCATGTTCTCAGCTCACTCATTTCTTGGGGTACAAGGATGGAGCCAACCTACACCCCCAGAGCCCTGCCTGTTCTCCCATCAGTCTTAAGGAAGGAAGCAACTTTTCCCACATCCACAACTAAACACCTCTTATGTTTCCATGACCTTTAACCAAATGCATCTCACATGCTTGTTTCCTGATTGCTCCTCCAGTACAGTGGGGTTCTGTTCAGGTTTGTGGAATCAACCTCTTGAATAGAGGGTATGTGAAAAGTGGCTGTCACTCATGTCGTTGCTGGTAGTGCTAATGAGAACTGATGTTCCCCATCAAGCACTCACTGTGGTCAGCCGAGAGTTTCATATATAAATGTGTCTAATCTTCACACTTTTTGAGGTTACAGCTATTATTTCCTTACCCACATGAGAGGGAACAGAAACAAAGTGTTCTGCCCAGAACAGAATGTGACCCATGTGCAGCAGGCGTAGGTCATGACCTTATATCTGTGCCTTTGTATAGGGGCAGAACCAGAGCCCTTCATCTCCATCCCAACTGAGAACCTTGAGTCCACCACAGTGGATCTTTCTCCAAATAAGAGTACACACCCGAGAAAGTTCAGGGACAGCCTGGAAGGACCCTCAGCCAGGCATCCCGAGCTCCCTCTGCTCTTCTCAGAGGTTCTTGGTGTGGGTTTCTTCAGGTCAAGAAAATCCCTCCTTGCAGGTGGTTCAGAGGACTGGTAGAAGAGAAAATGCATGAGAATGCTATACAGCCTTCCAGACAGTCTTGCTGTAGTCCTGGTGAGGAATTCCTGGAGTTTAATATTCTTAAGTGCCTGTTTCCCTTCACTCCTGCCCAGGGGTCCCTCTTCCCACCCTCCAGTGGTATAAGGATGCTGTCTCCATCAGCAAGCTCCAGAACCCTCGGTACATGGTACTCTCCAGCGGAGGCCTGCGCATCCAGAAGCTATGTCCGGAGGACTCTGGAATCTTCCAGTGCTTTGCCAGTAATGAAGGAGGGGAGATCCAGACTCATACCTACCTTGATGTGACCAGTAAGTACTGCTCACCAGCAAAGCCGAGACAGGGGTCTCAGGCCAGAGCCTCCCACCTGGAAGGACCCTCAGCCAGGCATACCAGACACACACAGAATAGTGGCCCCTAGACTGGGTGTACCAGGCCTTTGGCCATGGCCACCATACCTCAGGGGCACCTAAACCACTAATGGGTCCTGGGAAAGTCTCCTAAAGCCCATAAGCAGCAAGGACACTGCTGGTGCCCTCCCTGACCCTGTCCTTGTGAGCCTCTGTCTTCCTAGCACTGAACCCTCCTCTCTAGAAAACATCCCCCATTTTTCTGGACAGAATCAGAAAGACTGTGGAGTGAATAGCTCACTGCTAATCTTTTTATTTTGATCTTTTTTCTATTTTTATGTTCATTCTCTATTTTAGTTTTATTGAACAATTATAGTTCTTTTGTGAGTTTCTTTTATTATCCCATTAACAGAAATACCTTGGCACTCTGTCTTTGAAAAATAAAATAAAGGTAAAGGTTTTCATTGTATCTGTGGGTTTTCTTTTTAATCTCCCACAGTCGTAATATTGTTCTTCTAAAATGAAGTAGAATTTAGTGATTATGGAATTATACCTTTTCTGTTGCCCTTTTGGGAAGCAAAGTGCTGATGTCTCTGGGTGTGAGAGCCATTGAGAAAGCCAGTCGATGCCAGTGTGTGCGTGGCCGTTGGCGGTCACCAGGCAGGGCCTGTAAAGAGGCAAAATTTCTAAAGATCCATATGTGTATTTTGGTAAATAGGAGGTCATTTCCTTGACCTTTGCCCAGGGGTCCAATTTGCCCTTCATTTTGGAGCATATGAAACGAGTGTAGCTTCAAGCAGTAGAAATAATATTGGATACCTAAGCCAGAAACTGAGTTTTGATCAAGTAGAATTATTTAGAGCCTACATTGAAACTGTGGCCAGGAGTTCTGGGGCAGGGATCAAACAGGTTCTTTTCTATAAATGGCCTGATAGTAAATACTTGAGGCTTTGAGGGACGTGGTTTCCACTAGTCAGCTCTGCTGGATTGACCAGTGTGGAAGCCACCAGATAGTGTGGAGCGAGTGGGAATGGCTGACCCAATAAAACTTTGTTTGCAAAAACAGAGAGCTGGCTGGACATGGTTCACAGTGAGTAGTTGGCCAAACCCCACTGCAGCAGGAGACCTGGGGACTAGAGGTGAGCCCACCCTGGTGCTTGCCTAATGTCCTTCAGCCTCAGTTTCCGTACATATCCCCAAGGGACAAAGCAGCCCTGTCTGCAGGATTCTCAGGAGGGTCAGACTGGAAATTCAGTTGAAACTGAAATGAAAGTGCTCCTCTAAACTGGTTCCCATGAGGATTATACTGAGTTAGGCCTCTTTTCTCTTTAGCATTCACCCAAAACTGCCCTTGCTGGTCCCTGCACTTGGCATTTTTATATCCATTTCTCTCTAGGTTGTAAAGGTAGAGAGCTCCTGGGAGACAAATGATGGTTCCTGAAAGGGTCTGTGTTTTATCGCTATTGTTCATTGCATTGGGTCTGCAGAGCCACATGGCACTCTCCCCAGGGACAATGTGCTGACCACCTACGGTTCAATTCTTCTCCACAGATGTTGCCCCAGCATTCATCCGGCGTCCAGAGGACACCACGGTCACTGATGGGATGACAGCTGTTCTTCGGTGCGAGGTGTCTGGGGCTCCTAAGCCTGCCATCACGTGGAAGACAGGCAGGTGGCTTCTGCTTTCTGGACAGCATGGCTGGTGTGGAAGATCGGGCCTTTGCTGTGTTTTGTTCTTTTCACTCTCGTGCATCCACGAATTCATTCAGTAAAGATTGAACAGCCATTTATTGACTGTCCCTACCAGTGCCAAACGCCAGAGGTAAAAGGGTGAATAGAACAGTCAGGACCCCTGCCTTCTAGAAAAAGAACAGATATTAACAATAATAAGAATTGTGCAAATGTCCTCTCCTCCACCTAAGCTCTCACGGAGTGCCCATGGTCCCCTGGGGTTCTTTCAAATATTAAGTATTGGACTTGAAGTATTTCTGCTAAGGCTCAGCTTTCCTATACATAGGAGGAACTGTTGCTTGTAATATTCAAAATTAAGAATCATGCCTTTTTTAAATAAAGATGCTATCGTTTTTTACCCTCCCCGAGCTTGACCTATGAAGCTTAATTTCAGCTGTGTTTTCAGTTCCCTGGCACATCACAGTTGTCTTGGTAGTCTCCACAGCCTCTTCTACAAGTCAGCCCACTTGTCACTAAATGACCAGTACCCAGAGCCCATCTCACTAAGTCCATGCTTTGCTGTGTTGATTCGCGTAACTTGGCAAATAGTTCTGGGCGGATTGACCTGGGGGGACACATCAGAAGTCACCTCTGGTCCTCGAGACCAGAAAGCTGCATGGCAGCATCTTTCCTCTCAGAAGTGAAGGTCATGCACTCAGACATGGTTGGTAAGGTAAGGACCTGGGAAACTGCAGAGCAGTGGCAAGAGGGTACCTTCTTTTATTTTATACATATTTATTTTTTTCTTTCTTGATCTTGAACATATAGCAGCTTTATATATAAAATTCCCAAATGCATGTGTATACAAAGAAACATAAAAACCAGTCACCCAAGAGAATGATCACATACACAGATTATAATTTGTTTTACTGACTCTCTCAATGTTAGACAATAAGGATGTTCTTGGTTTTCATGATTCTAAGTAATGCTAAGAAAACTACTTTGGTTATTTTGTACATAAAATTTTCACTTTACTCTGATGGTCTTCTTGAGTTATTTTCTTACTTGCTGCCTAACAATTTTTTCTTTCTTTTGAAACTTTACAGTTTACACATTCTATTTTTCCTACAATTCTAAAATTCCTGTTTTCTTTCAGGAAGCCAAATTTTGGCCAGTGGCTCTGTCCGGATTCCTAGGTTCATGCTGCTGGAGTCTGGGGGTCTGCAGATAACCCCTGTGTTCATCCAGGACGCTGGCAATTACACCTGCTATGCGGCTAACACAGAGGGGTCCCTGGAAGCATCCGCAGCACTCACTGTGTGGAGTAAGGACCGCGGTCTTTGTGAACCTTCCATTAATCATGCTTAATCATCATGCCATCTGTGCCTAGGGGATGTCAATATGCCCTTGGACTTTCTCATTTAATCAAAAGAGAATGATTATTTTTATAACTAATTTATAGAAGTCTGTTGAGTAATTAATTTTTCACTTTCTAAAAGAATAATTAAAAGATGTATTCAAGACTTAATGGGGATATTTCAGGAGAGATAAGAGATTGACTTTTTAAAGTCAGTAAAGATATTATGCCCAACTAGCTCAAATAACAAAATTGATGTGTTGATTAAATTTATAAGAGTTTTATAAGGAAAGTGATTCAAGAATTAAAATCCTACAGAAAGTTTTTTCTGTGCTGTATTATGATTAGCTATACTCCCAGGACATTAAATATGAATGTTTCTCATATATTAGGAGTAAAGTGGAAGAAAATCAGCTTTTATCATTTTTGTTTTATCCATGATACTAGTTTCTGCAGAATAAATTGTTTTCTGGAATGTAAGGATTGGGTACCAAATCCCACTCCCACCCCTTCAACTGCCAAAGTACTTTCCCTCTCTTCTTCATCCAAATCCATGTCACTAAAAGCTCATTGTTCAAAAAAAGCAAAAGACAGTGCTCACCAACAGATTTTCATAAGGTTAATGAGGACAGAAAGTTTAACTCACTTGAGTGAAGAATTTGCTAAAATGCCATCCTTAAATAAAAGTCATTATGCTTCATTTCATATCTGATCAGCATTTTGTAGTATCCACTTTGATAAATCATCCTTTTCTAATTGTTTAGGTGTTCTAAAAAACACCAAGAATTTAAAAGAAGTTAATCCAAATTCCTATAATATTGGCAACTATTAAAAAAACATTCTGTTCCATTTGGTGATTGGAGTAAATCACTTCTGATTCATCGTGCTTCACCAAAAACTAACCATACATTCAAAAACTTGTGAAAAATGAGGTCTGGATCTCTAAAGATCACTCATTAGAATTTTGTGGATCTGCTAAGATTCAAAATTGTACCTGTACTAGAATGAGTGGTATACCACTTTGGTGGCTTACAGAACATTCCCCTTCCTTTTTTGAGACAGAGTCTTACCATGTTGCCCAGGCTAGTCTCAGACTTCTGGTCTCAAGTCTTCCTCTTGCTTCAGTAGCTGAGTGGCTGGGACCTCAGCTGCACTCCACCGTGCCTGGCTCCTGCAAAGCATTTTCAACCTAGATTACCCATGTTAATTTGTACAACTGTTAGTGACAGTAACATGTCTTTTCACTGACAAGAAAAATACTACTCAAACATTTTTCTTCATGTGCTGCTAAAAATCAGTCATATCAGCCCTGTGACTTCCAAGTTCCATGCATGGGACTAGAGTAGCGTCCCCCACAGAAGTATGTGGTGCAGGAACACAATGCTTGGGCTATGTGCAGGGAGGCTGACATTCTTTGGAGCAGCCAGGGAGCTTAGGAGCTGCAGGTCTGCACAGAGCTGATGAGCCTCTCATGAACTCTGTAGCTTGGAGCAAGTCAAGGTGTTTCTGAGTATCCATTTGCATTCCTGAAAATTGGGTATAATTATATTAGAGCTTTAACAAGATTGTTGTGAGGATTAAATAAATTAACATGAGTGAAAGTATTTTGTCATGGGAATATTAGAAATTGTCCAACAATGATCATCTTGGAAAAGAATCTGGATTTTAACCAGGAGTATAGAATCTGGGAGGTGTTTGCACAGCATTGTCCACTCTCTTTCCCCCGGAGGGTGTGGAGGGTCCAGGCTGACACAGGAGGGGTGGGGAGGGAAGATGGACTTTGCTGCAAGTGGGAAGGCTTGTTTTCAATTCCCTGAACACTTCTGAGTGCTTCCATTTACTCTCGTTTTGCCAAGATAAGAGAAAACTTGAAGGTTTTGATGTCAGATGATCAATTCATTATCCCCCTAAGGGCAAAGACTCTGAAACTTGTAATTTCATCTGAGCCGTGTCTTGTGTTATTTTAGATCGAACGTCCATCGTTCACCCTCCTGAGAACCAAGTAGTGATAAAGGGGACCATGGCCACGCTGCGCTGTGGAGCCACTCACGACCCCCGGATTTCTCTCCGGTCAGTTTCCTTAGTTCTGATACTTTGGGATTTATTAATATTCTGTGAGCTTAAAAGTGGAGTTGAGATGAGGAGGAAGAATTTGGGGGATTTTGATTTCAGCAGCAGATCCCTGATTATGGCATCCTATGGTCACGGCTCCATCGTTAATCACACGAATCCCATTTTCCACTCCAGCCTTATGTATTATTTACAGTGAGCTGCGTTCCACTTCATGACTTCAATACAGCTTTTCATGATTTTTCTGCCAAGGTTAATACACTATCTGTAAAACGTACTTGTCAGCAGCTGATACTTAATGAGAGAAAAATCCAGAGGGATTGAATAGGATTTCACCAGTGTTTACATGGGGACTCTGCAATTCTCCAAAGGGGTTTTCTCTATTCCAAGGATAGTTTCCTTGTGACATGGAGAGCAAGGGAGACCTGCACTTAAAAGAAAGGTAGCTATGGTTTTCTGAAACACTGAGAGGAAAATAACATGTGAAGAAGGAAACTAGCTGTCAGTTCACAAAAACAATTGTGACATCCTGCCAGGTGATGATAAAAAACTTGGCCCTTTAGGTAGGTGCATAGTGGCCCTCAGTGGTGAGTTTTTTCCCAAAGAGCAGCACTTACAGAATAATTTATTAATTTTCAAAATCAGCCTTGAATATAAATCAAGAAAGAAATCCAGTCATCTTAGTATTATTACTCTGGTCTTAGCTCCGTATAGTTCACCAAAGTGCTGGAATCAAAAGCCTGCCTGCTTCCTGGGACATTCTCTCTGAGCAGAGGTGATGACTCTTGATGCATATGTTTTTGCCTATGTTCACAGACTCAGCCTTTCTTTCACTCTTTTGGGAAGTTGTTTGGCAAATCAGGAATTTCCACATCTTCACCTGGCTCTCCAAAGGTGCCCAGGGCTCAAAAACAAGTTTGGTTTAGTTACAGGAATGCTGAATGCAAAACAAAATGAACAAACAGAAACTAGTGAGTTAAAGATTACCCAGTGAATCCTTGGAGGCTGGCTTAGAATCGTTATCATGCCTAGAAAAGAATCCATTCATTCTAAATGACTTTTGGAGTGCGATTCCAGAGAATGAAGAACAAACAGGCTGGCTTTCTGCTACTCTGAGAGCTTAAAGAGAAGCCCCTTGGATCTGTGTGGTTTTCTTGTAGTGTTGATTGAATGGGAGGCCCCTTGGAGAGAAAGAACTGGATTGTTCCCTCTTAACCTGGGGTTTTTCTGCCCCCGGTGCTCATCTCTCCATTCCTTTCTTCGGGGATCTGTCCTGTTCTATCTCAGCATAATTTCAGATGAGGGGTTTGTAAATGTTAGTGCTCTGTGAATATGAAAGCTTTAAAAAACCTGGGTACATTTTGAAAATCTGATCAAATTATTCTGGAGGGAAAAAAAAACGAGCACTTTTCATCTCATCTAGCCCAGGGACATCAAAAGACTGGACAGGCTCTTAATTGATTCTCTATTTGAAAAGAAAAATGGGCTAAAACATAGATAAAGATAAAGTGAGGAAGAAATGAAATTTTAGGGGCCATCTGCCAGAATGTTAGGATTTTTAAAATATATGCTTAAATATGTTTATGAGATACTGAGATGTGACTTTATTTATTTGTTTTGTGGGTTTTTTTGTTTGTTTTTCTTTTTGTGTTGTTGTTGTTGTTAGTAGTTGGGTAATTCTACTCTGGGATTTTTTTTTTTCAGCACTGGGAATTGATCCTAGGATTTCTCACATGCTAGGCAACTGTTCTACCTACCAAGCTATATCCCTAGCCCCCCAGTATTTTGGTTTGTTTGTATGTTTTTGGCAGTACTGGGAATTGAACCCAGGGGCACTTTACCACTGAACTACAATCCTAGATCTTTTCCTTTTTATTATTTTATTTTGAGATAGGGTCTTGCTAAGTTGCTCAGGCTGGAACTTGCAATCATCCTGCCTCAGCCTCCCAAGTCACTGGGATTATAGATGTGCACTATACCTGGCCTATCTGGAATTTTTAAACAGTCATTGACTCCTGTTCAGAGGGCACTCTTGTCCTGCAGGTACATTTCTAGGGCAGGGGTGTTAAGTACAGTTTAGCAGGTGACAGGTATGCACATGATCGCACGAGTCCCCAGTTCCTATACACAAGATCAGACAAATGTTTCCAGTCGTCTTCATTGTCCTAGTTTGACTTCAGCATCTACTTTTGTATATTGACAAAGATATCTGGATGCTTTTCTTTTCCTTTTTTTCTCTTTTAGGTATAATTCAAAAGCCTTAAAAGTTACCCTTTTAAAGAGCAAAATTGATTGATCTTTATTATATGCTCAAGGTCATTCACCAGTTGTTGCTATTTAACAGGGAAGGACCAGTGCTCCTGCTCCTGAGAGTTCTGTAACTGAAGACTCTTTTCTTGGCCCACAGCTACATTTGGAAGAAGGACAATATGGTCATCACCCCATCTGGCAGCTCTAGAATTGTGGTGGAGAAGGATGGGTCCCTCCTCATTAGCCAGACATGGTCAGGTGACATTGGGGACTATACCTGCGAAATCATATCTGAGGGAGGGAATGATTCCAGAACAGCCCGGCTGGAAGTGATGTGAGTACCTTCTCTCTGGGTGTTAGCCAGCTCCTTGCTATCTACATTGCTACCCTAAGCCAGCACCTCCAAAGCAATACCACTCAGAAGCCCAAGTGGTCCCAAGTCAATATGTCATGCTCTACAGGCCATGTGCATTGACAAGATTTGGGGGGATCTTATTTTTAACTTCAAAGTTAAAATGTTGCATTCTTGGTGCAGATGATTTAATCATAGATTATCATCCCCATTGATCCTTTGTCATGTCTGCCCTACAGACACCATAGTGTGAAAGGCTCTTTGCCACACTGTGGTTAAGCAGCAGTGAGTTCATTTTTCCATCTGACTGCCCACCAGAGCTTCCTATCCAGGAGAAATATCAGGGTCAGCCCACGAGCAAGACCATTGCCGTGGCAGTCAATAGACTTGGAGCTTAAGTTAGTCCCAGCTGCCTCTCTGTGGGTGAACAGATACTTTCCACTAAGTCTTTTAAATCCTGAAAATAGCAGGCAGCCGCCCATTACTTCCAGCCCAGACCTTCCTGGGGGTCCAGGGGCGCAGGTGGGAACCACTGATCTTTTTGCACACTCTTTCCTCAGCTCTCTCTCTCTCCATGCATGGAGTGAGAAAATTAAAGGCCTGTTGACAAATTTCATTTTTCCAGTGTGAATTTATTTGCTTTTTTAAAAGTGTGCACTCCCAGATATTCCCTAAGCATATGAGTATAAAAATAAAACCTGAAAATGAAAACAAAGCATCACCATTGCCAAGGAAGCAGCTGGTGATGGTGACACACCCACCCACAGGTCCATCCCTGGCCATGTTAGACAGTAGACCATCAGGAAAAGGCATTTATAAGAGATTTTTTTTTTTCCCATGGACTCTGCCCACCTTAATCTGGAAAGGATTCTGTATACAAAAATAATTTCCTAAAAATAACACATCTTATTTGTCTTTGAATCCTTAGATGCCAGCCAAGGGAATTAAGAATGACAAAGGCACTTGCTAAAACTACATACACATACAACCTTCTGCCTGTTGCATGCATGAATGAGTGGCCAAGAACAAGCTTGCCCTAACCCCTATTTTTGGAATTTAAAAGGTTAATGTTGCATAGCAGCCAATCCAAAGCATCCTGCTGCACCTTCAGCATCTGAAAAATCCAGGATACCCCTTTTCTCTTTAGAGGTTAGCTACTGTCTGGAGCAAAGGTCACCCTAGTTAGAATGAGAAAGGGCCCTGTGGTTCCCACAGAGGGTTCTGGGCTTTGGACAGACAGTATCTCCCCTAACTGGACCATCAGCACTGGAGCCCAGCTCCAGGCTTTCTGCCTTCCCTGTATCTCCAGCTTCAGTCTTTTTGCTGCCTCAGTCACCTGCTGCCTCCATAGCACAGCTGTATTCTCTGCTGGCACCCGAAGGGCTCCTGCTCATATATTCTTTAGTGTTCCCCCGCATCATCCCTTCCTGCCATTTGTACTCGGGTACCTCTTGCAGTCCCCGCAGCTCCTGGCCTAGCCTCCCTCTACGGGTAGCATGTATCACACTGTGAGGGATGAGCCTACCTTCCCCTCCTGAAGCACCTCAGTGGCACAGTTTTGCATTCTGAATGCCTGACACAGTGTCTGATGCACAACAGGTGCTCAATAAGTATGGGCTGGTTTGTTGGTTGAATGCACAAATGCATGGAGTGATGCATGAATGTTTTGAGCCACTGGTTGGCCTTCTGATTCCTCTTCTTATCCTCCATGCTCATGAGTTGGCTCCCCACTAAATAAGCTCACGAACTCCCATCGCTCCATCAGAAATCCCTGTCCAGCTCTGCTATTCCTGTCCTCTTTCCTTCCAGGTCTCAGATCAGGGATTGTTTTTTATGATATTAGAGAGCATAGCCAGTGAATTCATATAATCCTCTGCTATTCAGAATTTTAAAACTACCTTTGAGAACTCTTAGATCATCCATTGTTGGTATCAAATAAATAAGTGTTAGCAGTTCATAAAGACTCTGTCAGCAGAAGCCAAATTGCATACTTCCAATAAGCACATTCTTTTTATTCTGCACAATTTTATGTTCTTCTGATTTACATATCTTCCCTACTATTTGCTTATTTGATTTCCTCTAAGTAAAATACATTTTTCAACAAATGTTGCTGTATGTATAAAATAATAGGTTTTCTGTAGTGGTAAAACACCTCATCTCTAAATTTAGAAATATTTGCAGATTTGTGATTCAAACCTATTTAGGTGGCACTGGTCACAGAACTGATTAGGAAGGCCATTGGTCCTTGTGAGTTGTTGGTATTATAAACACTGCTTCTTCCAGCTCTGAATGAATCAGGAGAGCTGTGCACCTTTAGATCCAAACAGGTTTTGAGACTCTACAAGATCAGTGATGACAATAATAATGATAATATTAATCCATGATTGTGGGGCATTTGATGCTTCTAAGAGAACTTTGAGGTTGAGCCCTGTCACACTCCCCTGATTTACTCAAATGGCAAAAAAAAAAAAATCAAGAAATAAATCTTACATTGCAGAAGGGACTGAGAGGTTCTTATAGCTAAACAGTGTCCTTCAAAGCACTGAAAATCAGTTCCCCTTCCCTCTTGACTTCAGCTAAAAACCACTTTGTTAAATATAGAAATTAAGTGCATTAGAAATGAGCTTTTCAAAAATAGACTGTCCTTCGGTGCATCCTCATGCTTCTTCACCCCGCCACCTAATATCCAGCGGGAAGCTTCTGGTTAAGCCAGTTGGAAGGGCAACACCTCTCCCTTGAGGGGCTGAAGAGGGGCCCTCAAGGAATCCCAACCTTTCTGTTCCTCTCCACCCCACCCCTTCCTGCATCACAGACTCTGCAGCCTCAGGATGCTATTTTTGACCCCACCTTCAGGATCCACCTAATGGCCAGAGGTATCTGCTGCAGAGCCTTGGGTGCCTCCCCCAGTGCCAGGCATAGTAGGTGCTAGGGAATGTCTGGGTGAGGCTCACTCTGCTGAGTTTACAATGAGGGTCTGTTTTGCATCACCCACAAAGACTAATTTACAATTTACGTGGGCTTGGCTATAATCCCCTGTCCAAAAGAAGGGGCTTCTAAAATTCCAGATGGTTCTGTGATGTATCCTGTAAATTAACAGCACTGTCCTCATAAACGCGGTCACCCTGGCTTTGCTTATGTCTTTCCCCCTAGTTTGCTGGTACCATAAAGGCAGGAGCCGCTGGTTCCTGGGATGACTCTGTATCCCTGCAAGCATCTCGCCCTGTTGAGCACAGAGGGGCCAGACCCCTTAGGCTCTATGGATTGATTAATTGTTCAATCATTTAAAGACCCAATTAGCATTGCCTCTCTCCTCTTGAAGTTGGAGACTAATTCTTATGATCCTAGACTACAGAGAAAATCTAATTTACAGAGCAAGACATGAAGACTCTGACCCTGAGGCAGTGGGAGAGGTTTCTACCAATAAAACCACTTCTGACAAAGCCATAATGAGTGAACAATTTCAGTTATCAGGCCCATCATCTTCCTCCTCAGAGCAGAGTGGAAGAAGATGAGTTTTACCAAGGCATCATTTGTGCATCAAAGGGGCAATGCTTATACAGAAAAATGCCTGCCTGCTCCTCCTCTGCCCAAGCCATTCCCCACAGCCACAGTTTCACCAATTTCTCGCTCTTGTCCTTAAATCTGTTTTCTTCACACACACACCTCACTTAATCTCCCTCCCATACAGTCTGAGTTTGTGTTTTTGTTATTCTCTGATATTCCTGTGGTGTAATTTGCTGGTAGCGATTTTGCCCCCGTCCCATCACCTTGTAAGGTGACTCAGCACTGGGCTTCATTTCCATTTTTCTCGGATCACTTCCATTTGTTACCCTTCTGGGTATCACTGTCTGTGAGTCACTGCCAATCGTTTATCTCCTTTCAAAGTTGGCAGAGAAATGCCTGGATGCAATCTTCTCCTATTAGGTAAGATTTTCTGAAATAGATTCAGAATATATTAGAGTCTCATTTATCCATTACTGACAGGCTAGTCAAGGGTTTCACAAGATAACCAGAACTTATGTAAAGGAATGGTTTATATTTTCAGTGTCTATTAACAAGCTCTTTGCATGGCTAAACAGGTAATGTTGGACACAAGAGAAATGACAGAAGCACTGTTCACATAGGGTCGGGGCTAGAATCAGGAAAAACAATTCTCCTTCCAATTCTGAGTTCTGTGACATGTGTAAAAGCCACTTCCTGCATTGTGCTGTCAGACATCTCTGACTGAGCATGGCCTGGTTGATCAGAGCTCTGTGCTTCTCGGTGCATCAGGGGTGGTGATGTTGTCAGATACCATTGGGTCACTAGGTCTTGGGTCCTACACTGAATGTCTCAAGACCACTTTACCTTTAAATTTTTTTTTCCAGTAACTGGGAATTGAGCCCAGGGTCACTCAACCACTGAGCTACACCCCTAGTCCATTTTATTTTATTTTGAGGAAAGGTCTCACTAGATGGCTGATGCTGGCCTCAAATTTTCAGTCCTCCTGCCTCAGCCTCCTGAATCACTGAGATTACAGTTGTGTGCCATCAGGTCTAGTTTTAAGTCTCTTTTTAAAAATGTTTTTTAATTCCGAATGTCAGGCTCTGGACTATATCATTGTGGCTTGGTATGCTTCCTAGCAGACCCGTCACCTTCTTATCAATTGCTTCTGAGCTGCCAGGAGATGGGAAATCAGAAAAAAACACACTGACTACATCACATCCTGGGTGAGAGCCAGCAGCTCGGAGGTGCGCAGAGGGATGTGTGTGAGCACAGTGCAGGGACCGTGGGCTGACCCTGGACAATGTGAGAGCTCCACCAGTGGCCCCTCAATAAGTGAATGCACCTGAAGCACAATCACAGAGCTGTCCAGCCCTAGGAGAAAGGCCATCCACTCACCTGTAAGACTGGTCATTTCTACGTGTGCCCTCCACTGGAAAGGGTGGGCAAATAAAAGCACTCATTTTGGTGGGAAATGATTCATGACTCATGTCAAACCCCAGTGTTAATCCCTCTGGAATGTGTAATTGGGATTGTTTCCTATCTCAAGGTGCCATTCATGAGTTCCCAGGTTCTTATTGTGTCTTTGGGACCTGTGTGAACACTGCATCTGAGCTGAGATTCAGGCTGTGTACATGTCCGTCTGCTGCAGGGAACCTCTTAGAGCACCAGCAGTGTGCACATGGAAAACCACCCAGAACACAGACAGCCCTCCTAGTCTTCTAAGTTGTTCCTCATGTCAGAAAGCCTTCCATTTTGAGGGGGAGTCTTGACACTGATAAGAATTACTTTGGTTTAGCACAGACCTTACAAGACCAGGACACAGACCCCAACAAGATGCCCCAGCTTTAGGCACTGGCGTCCAGCTCAGGACTTCCACGCCACATTCATTTCTAACCAATCAGCTAAAATCTGAAACTTCCCACTATGCCATCAGGTTCAAATTCTCTACACAGAACTCAGGAAAGTGCCCTGCATACAGTTATATTATAAAGGACAAAAATCAGGACCAGATAAATGAACAGAACATGAAGCAGGGTGGGCAGGGTCCCAAACTCAAAGCTTCCTCGTGCTCAGAATGCATCAGCTCATGATTACCAACCAGGAAATCTCAGCTGTTTTCATGTCCAGAGTGTTTTGGGGGCTTTGTTGTGTCAGCACCATTGATTCAATCACTGGTGCAGGGTTGAATTCAATCTCTATCCCCCATACATATACACACTGGAGGCCAGAAGGTTTGGGCAGATGGCACTGGCTAAAACCCCCACCCTATCACAGGGCTGGTCTTTCCAGCATGGCCAGAACCCATTTCTGGAACAATCTGGGGACCCCCAAGTTGCCTCCTAAGCATACACTCAGTGTGTCTCAGAGACCCACCCTGGGTAACAGAGACAGTTCTGTCCCTCCAGAGATTCCAAGGGCTTAGAAGCTCCAGCCCAGATCAGACAAATTCTTTATTATTCAGTAGTCTTATTTGGATATATCTATTCAAGCTTATTCATGATTTGTTTTCAGGTGAACTATTTCAACAACTTTGGTTTGATTTCAAACCAATTCAGACTGGGGGAGAAAATAGGAAATGGGCTTTGGAGAGGTAGAATAGATGTTTTTATCTTAGTACTTCCTTCATATTGGTCTTTATTAGAAATCTAATGGAGGTTTGGTTGTTGGAGAACTCAACTAGAAATAACAGCCCTTTCTCTGATTTAAAACAATTCACAGTTAAGAAGAAAACAAGCAACATTTCAGGCTGAGGTTTCTGCTTACTGTGCCCGTGTACAATGTAGTTGCAGTCTACATGAGAAATACTGCTTTGTTATAAACAGTGTGCAGGGGTTAGAGAGAGCTGTGTTTCTTAGGTAGCTGAAAGCTCAAAACAGCTTAATAAATTTTAAAGTATAATGAGTACATTTTTAAAATAAAAAAATATCCAGGATAATTATGGCTTTTTGTTCTGACCCTATGTGGTTCGGCCATACCTGATGTCTCAGAGAGACCCAAAACCAGCTAATGGGGGAAATGGGGCATGCTCAGCACCTTCCCCCGGCACTGCCTGGGAACATTTGCAGAAGTGGCAGCCATCCTGTGCCTTCCCAAAGCAGGTCCTGCCCCCAGACCATGGGACATCAAGGTTAAACACAGGACATGGGGAACTTGTGACTTCAGGCCAGTCACTGGGAGAAAGACACAGTATAGTGTGCAGCTTTGTCACCAGTAAATCCCAGTAAAAACTTTTTTATTAGTAACTTCTTTTTGGAATTTATTTGCTTTAATTGCATTTCCATTTTATGGCTGTGCTGATGTGTTATTTACCATTTCCATGGGATTTTAGTTAGTGTTTTCACCACATTTCCTTTTAAGTGCTTCCCCCAAACCTCTATTATCCAACAGAAAACAGAATGACAATATAACCTCATGCTGTCAATAAATGAGGCAACTCTGTTTGTCTAAGAATGCAGATGGGCATTTTCAATACTAATTCCAAATGGCTAGTGTGGAAAATTTTCACATTAAGTCATATCTACCAGGGCTTTTCCTGTTCATATGGTTTACTGCATTTCCATTACCAGCTTCTAGTTGCGAAAACAAATCATTGACCAAGTTTTCTCTACTAAATAATATACTGCATAAAAAAAATTGTGCACACATTGCCCCATTTAAGTGACAGTGTCATTTGTTGTTTCAGTTCCATAGGGATTACATCAAATTACGTTTAGAAAACAAAATGGCACTGTGAGTGGTAGAGTTGGGCTTTGTTCCTCTTGCAGGAGAGGAGGAGTAAGCAGTATTTTTGTACTGGGGCTGCATTTTATGTTCTCCATTCCCAAACATTACACCCTAGGACTCTCCATAGTGAGCACCCAGGTGAACTGTTGGTCTGACACACACTTTCTTCTCGTTCCTTCTCCTTACCCTTCAAGTGAGCTGCCTCACCCACCTCAGAACCTCCTGGCCAGCCTGAGCTCTCGCAGCCACGCCGTGGTGCTCTCCTGGGTCCGGCCCTTTGATGGAAACAGCCCTGTTCTTTACTACATTGTGGAGCTGTCTGAAAACAGTAAGTAACAAACACAATGGTTGCCCTGAATGGCTGTTGGGTTTCTTTGTGTCCTCAGTGTCCCTAATCTTTACTGCTGGTTCAGACCCACTAAGTCAAAAGGAAGGTTACAGTGCTTTATGGTTGTAAAGGGAAAGCACAGCCTGCACTTGAGGAAGAGAAATGGCCATGTGGGCTGGGAGCAGGGCTGGGAGGGTCACGAGAGGACTCTTATGAGGGCCTGGGTCTGGGGGCCAGGCCAGTAGAATGGCCATGCACACAGAATGCTCTAGGCAGAGTACTGCAGGACAGCATCCTCCCTGGGGTGCATGTGGAATGGGTAACAAAATTTCCCAAGGGGCTGATTTGAGAGTTTGCAGCAGCAATAGTTGAATCTGTGGGTATTTTCTCTGGCCTCAACATGGTACCAAGTATAGAGTAGGCTTGTCTTTCCTTTGCCCCCTGCTTTGACCTCTCAGCAGCATAGCACCCTCCAAGCCACCTTCATTAAACAGCTCCCTTCCAGAGTTGCCCTCCACACCAGCTTTCCTCCAGCCTCGCGGGTCCTCCCCCTTCCCTGCTGGCTGAAGTGAGGGTTCTGCATGCTGTCCTGCTTACTGCTCCCAGCTGCTCTTCCTGGGAAGCCTCCTGTGTTCCCATGATGAGACCGACATCTTTTCTTTGATGAGGTCCGTGGCTCTCTGAACCCAGACCTCTAACAAGGAACCCAGTGACTGGACATCTCTACCTCTGGTACCTCACAGACGTCACAAACTTAATGCCTTCAAGGAGCATCTTGCCATGATTTTTAATCCTGACCCTATTCGCCCCTCATTGCTGCAGCCATTTCAGCCTATTCCCAGCACCCTTGATTTTGATATTACTTGAGCCTGAGCCTAAGGATGGTCCCGGCCTTTCCTCTCTAGCTCATCATGGCAGCAGTTGCCCTAATCCCGTATGTACCTAGAGTCAGCTGGAATCTGCTCCCTCTCTACCCCCCAGACCTTTCTCTCTTATCAAGACGCTACAGCTCTCTCCCCACTGGACCCTGCATCTTCTCTTGCTCTCTTCAGGCTGGGGGCCCTGAGCATGCGTGCTGTGCAGAGGATGAAACCCTAACTCCCCAGTCCCGTGCAGCCTGGGCTTGCCCCCAGGCACCCTTCTCTCTGTTCAGCATGTGCCAACCCCACTGGCTTCAGGTGGCTCTCTGGAGGGGCCTCATCTCTCCCACCTGCCCGCCTGGAGTGCTCAGAGGCTAGATTGCTGCCCTTCATGATACCTGTTGCCTCCTCAAAGAAGCGCACCAGCACACTGGCTGCACCTAACCTTTGACTGCCTGAGCTGAAGTCCTTCCTGTATCATGCCTCTCTTATCCCTGACTCTTCCCTAGGCTCCCATTGCAGACCAGCCAGACCTTAGGTGGCCTGGCTCTTAAGATGGTCATTCTCATTGAGCCTGCAGTTTGTCTCATGGTGACACTGCATTCTGAATGGGTCCTAGCCTTTAGGACAACCAGGAGTGGTGCTCTCAGTGCTGTTGGCCCTGAGATCTCACTCTCCTGGTGAAACTCCTCACTTTGTCATGGGGAACAACTTGTGGAGTTCTGCTCTAGGTCTCCCCCTCACCAAGCCTGGCATACTCTTGAAGACATTAAGTCTGTGATGTCTGTGAGGCACCAGAGGTAGAGATGTCCAGTCACTGGGTTCCACGTTGGAGGTCTGGGTTCAGAAAGCCACGAACATCATATAATGATAGCACCATACAAGCCACAGCAGTGCTGTTTGGGCCTCATTTATGGCCAAGAGATGGATGTATAGGGTAGAAGTGTCTTGCCCCGGGGCCACACAGGTAGCAGTAGGACCCCCACCTCCTGGCCATCTGACCTGGAGCTCAGCTCTTCATGGTCATCAGGACTCTTCAGAGCAGCCTCCCTTCTGCACTTCAGTGGGGGCTTCTCAATGAAGGCTGACAGAATGGCAAGCATACCAGGTTGGTGGCCATTCAGGGAGCCATGTATGAATCTGAGAAGGTTGATTTGGATTATACTTCACCCAAACCAGTTCTGAGACAGGTCCCAAAGGCCATGTGTTTTTCCCATTTCCTGGGTATCACCTTGACTGGGATAGCTTTGGGCTTGGCACCAGCTCAGAGAAAGGTACTGGAGTCAGGCCCTTCTCCCTTTCCCGCGGTACCCACTGACCTGGGTCCTTCCTCAGAGAGTGTGGTGTCTGGGGACCCATGTGCCTGCAGACAGCTCTTCATTCCAGCTCAGCAGTGCTGATCAGAGAGGGTAGGTGTTGGCATTACTACTGAAGCAACCTTTGAGAAGGTAAGGTTTTCCTGAGGATGTCATGGATGTATGCCTGTGACAGTGATGTGTAGGGAGAATATGATGAGAGCAGAGCCATTGTTGTCAGAATCCTTACAAACATCCACCAAAAAAATAACTCCTGTCAGGCACCCATCTCTAGGAGATGGGGGATTGTGTTCTGTTCACCTTTGTCTCTAGTCCCTAGTGCTCAGTGGCACTCAACAAGTGAACTTGAACTAAAATGGGGGCCCTGGTAGAGCCCCCATGATGGACTTCAAATTACAGTCCTAGACCATCTTCTACAAGGGAAATGTTCTGCCTTCCCCAGTTTATATCAAATAAGATGTTGATTCAGATTGCCATACTAACCATTTTCTCAGCTGATTGCATGACTGGGTCTTGTAGTCCAACATCTTACCTAAACCAGAAGCAAGCTTTACAGGTATCTATCTGTTCATTTATCCATCCATCCATCCATCCATCCATCCATCCATCCATCCATGTGTTGATTGGACATCTGCTGTACCCCAGGCACTCTGCTGGGTGCTGAGATCCAGGAGACAAAATGAGCAGCCTCATTGTTAACAACGAGGAGTTGGTCAGGCACAACAGGATCCATGTGTCATTTTTCTTTTCTTTCTCTTGTGGTGCTGACAGTGGAACACCCAGGGCCTCCTAAATACTAGCAAGTGTTATCTGGCACTGAGCCACACGCTCACCCCTGTGTCAGTACTAGTGGTAGTCAACACAGTGCCTGGCATATACTGGATAATCCCATATATGTTTGGTTGTTTCATTTCACTGAGAAAGGGATGAAGAATGTCATTTATCCCTCATTAGCCTCTGACTCTTCCCACTGGACCGTCTTGGAGCTGGATGTGAGTCCCAGCTATTTTGCCTTCAGAATCTAATGTAGGTATCATTGTGTGAAGAATTGTGAAGAACTGAAATGGATCAGATGGTTGTCTCTTGGCTGTCCCTGATTTCAACCCTATGAGATAAGTCTGCATCTTTGGCTGAGCAGCATGTGTTGCTACCAATTGGTTAGCCATGCCACAGCAAATAGAAGACCAGCTCCATCATCGGGCCATCCGTTGGGTTTTTGTTTTTATTAGGAATGAGTGCCCTTAAGAAGCAGCTGAACATGCTGGCTAATTATAGTCAGAAAGAACAGCTTAGCGCAAGTACACTAAAATGGAAATTGTATCTGGCCTACACTCAGCACTGTGAAAGGAGACAGTGCTAAATAACCCCAACAGCAGTCCTCCACCCCTCTGTGTGGGAGTGTCTGCAGCCAGCAGGCTGATAAGAATGTTGGTCTGCTGGAAACCATGGATGCTGCAGGGGCTTAGTGTCCATGACAGGTGCTTTATAACACCTGTCCTCAAGACATTCCCATTGCTACAAAAAAGGCCTCTTCAGAACTTTATAAAGCAGAGTTCTGGAGCTGGAGTTGACCCCCTTTGTGCATGCACTTGACTGGAATTGAAACCTTGAATGGAGATTGGCACTCTGCAGGCAGGTGTCCTGTGTTTTGCTCTCTTGTGAAGTTGGGTGATCCTCTTGTCCCAGGTCCCCTTTTAGTGAACTGGGAGCACAAAGAAGGGTAGCAGTGTCCTACGGCCTGCTTCACCTCGTGTGCAGAGGAGTACAGAGAGTCTGACCAGGTGACAGGGGACAGGAGCCTGGCGGATTCCTCTGTTGAGACAATGCAGCGATTCCTAATGGCTTGATAGCCAGGTATGAGACTTCTGTTAAATAATAGAAGTACCTGTCGTGCTTTCTAAATGTCTCTTGATTACGATCAAGAATGATCTTTCTTGGAGGTGATTATGATCACAAGGGGGGACACTGTCAAGGAAAATCTGTGACTTTGCAGTGAACCAAAAAAAGATTACTAGGTGTCTCATCTAGCACCTTCAGGGCTTATGACTCCATAAGGACCTGCACCTTTCATTGTCACGGGGCCATTTGCAACTCTGTAAACCTCAGAAAATTTATAGCAATGCAAATGATTCTTGTCCATAAAAATGCAGATAAATTTTATCCTGTAGAATATAATAATATGTTGGTTACTGCTCTGCAGACATTGACCAGTTTCACATCTGTTTGTGAATTTATTTTAGCATCGTCAACATATGTGTGCTGTTTGAATTTTTCCTTTTAACTGTACAGTTATTAACATCTTACTGTTTCCTTCATAAATTAATGAGCTAACTAAAATTTTTGGTACACATTCATTTTGTATTTGTATATGAGCCATCATTTGCTGGGCATGGTGGTGTACGCCTGTAATCCCAGTGGCTTGAGAGGCTGAGGCAGGAGGATCATGAGTTCAAAGCCAGCCTCAGCAAAAGCAAGGCACTAAGCAACTCAGTGAGGCACAAACAAGCCTCAGCAAAAGCAAGCACTAAGCAACTTGTCTCTAAATAAAATACAAAATGGGGCCAGGGATGTGGTTCAGTGCTCAAGTGCCCCTGAGTTCAATTCCTCTTATGACCCCCCCACCAAAAAAAGAGCCATAATTTTTCTTTTTATAAATGTATCCTCAAACATGAACATTTGGCATCACTTAGTATTAGAAGTGAAAAAAATCTTCTAATGCAACAGATGTCACAAGTTTCCATGGTAACACTGATATTTGGGGAGAGGCCAAGGTCTCAGACTGAGTACCTAAATGTTTTCCATGATCTGGACTAAGGTATCATGC